CGTGTGGATGTACTACGAGTGAGTGCGATGGCCTCACTTGTGGTACGGTCGTTAGTACGATTGCACAAGATCACTGTATAGAAGACCACTGCACTGTGGAACCAGCTTCCGGCACCTGTGTAGAGACACAGGCTGCACCGAAGGATCACCACTTGAAGAGATCGAGCGGACTGGAACACGGATGCTTACCGAGAAGGGTGCATCCGAGAAGAGATATTATTGTCGTTCAAGATGAGCAACACGTTGAAGCGAGATCGGCTATCAGAGAGTCGGTCGTAGAGCATACCCGATTGGCTGAAAGAGGGTCGATCGAAGATGACGAGACCGTGGTAGCGCACTCACAGTCATGATACATATTATAAGAAGGTTCGTTCCTGATAGTGATAACTCCCGAGAGAGTCATGTTGAGGGTGTGGATCCCCAACCACCTGTGGATGTGTTTTCCCAGGAAATCACCGAGACAGTAAATGGCTTGGTAAATGACGGATCAAGTGTAGGCGCTTATACACTTGGTATGGTTACGCACCCGAAGTCAGCTTCATAGGTAGTCAAGTTGCCGACGCTAAAAGCTTAAAGATTCTTGCAAGCTCTGCATAGTGACAAGACCAAGTAGATCTGCGTAGTGACAAGATCAAGTAGATCTGCGTAGTGACAAAAAAAAGTAGATTTGCGTAGTGAAACGTTTAAGTAAATTTGCGTAGTAACAAGTTTAAGTAGATCTGCATACTTTTCACAGAGGACGAGTACGTCGCCGATTTTCAGTCGGCACAAGTGCTTACGGAGATAGAACGGGTTATCAGTAGCTCATCGATGGCCGAGAGTGGCCTCGAAAAAAAGACCCAAATTGAGCGATACACGTCTCAATCTTGGGAGTCTTTAAAGACAAATCCTTTGTATGAGGATTTGGTCGAATTCAGGAACGTTTTCCCGGAATCCGTGCCATGCGAGCTGCCCAAGGACAAAGGCACTCGGCATGAGATCGAACTGAAACCTGGTTCGAAACACTGTGTCATGAAGCAGTGGCCACTGCCTCATGAATAGGTCACAGCGATCGACAAATTCTTTGCCGATCGTTTAGTGGCTGGTCATGTGGGGGAAAGAACATCCCTACACAGCTCTCCGACCTTCCGTGTGCTTAATGCCACAGGAGGATGGCAGATAGTGCACGCGTTCAACAAATTGAACGCTGCAACGGTACCGGCTCAAACACCGATCCCAAGAAACGATGTCATCATAGATGGCATGGCAAAGAGTACCATCTTTTCGTCCATGGATTTAATGGATGGATTCTATCATATCCTCATGCGTGAACGCGATATCCCTTACACAGCAGTGAGCACCCCCAGTGACATGCTCTGGGAGTGGCTAGTAATGCCACAGGGGCTAATTAACGCCCCCGCAAGGTCAACAGATGTGTTACGAATCTGTTTCGATCGGAGCGCGACTTTTCACCGAGTTACTTTGACGATGTCTTCGTCCATAGCCGTGATATGAATGGAAAGACGGACGTGGAGGTTCAAAGAATCCACGTCCAAAAGATTCTTACACATAAATGTGAGCATGAGTTTTCGCTAACCTCAAAACGTGTATATTCGCAGCGAGCGAAATACCACTTCTTGGTTACACCGTTGGTAAAAACTGCGTACGCCCTGATCCAAAAAGATCAAGGGGATTAGCGACTGGCCGGTGCCAGTCGATGTCAAGGAACTTCGAATTGTCCTTAGCTTAGCGGCATACTTGAACAAGTACTCGCGTAACTACACCGAGATGATTGTGCATCGCTCTCGTTTGTTAGAGAAAAACGAGAGGTGGCCATGAAGTGCTGAGTGTCAGCACTCCTGTGAACGTATCAAGAAAAGCTTTATACAATCGTCTGTGCTGGCAATTGCAGACCAGGACAGGCCATTTCATGTATTCTGTGACGCCAGCGATTTTGCAATTTGCTGCGCGTCGATGCCTTACGAATCAGGCGGTGTTGAGTGAGTCGTCTGCTTTAAATCGCGTCAGCTGCAAGCAGCTGAGCGTAATTACCCGTTGCATGGCAAGGAACTCCTTGCCATGAAATATACACTGGCTAAATTTGGGTATATCTCTTAGGAGATAGGCCCTTCATCGTTTATACCGATCACGCGTCGTTACGCACGGCCGTTAACAGTCCACACCCCTAGCAACGAATGGCGAGGTGGCTGTCTTTCTTTGAGGATTACACTTTCTCCGTCCAGCGTAAACACGGACGACTTATTCGTCGCTGATGCTCTTTTGCGTCGACCCAATTTCGATCCGACTGCTCCACCCAACAGTCCGGGTGAACCCACTGTAGCGACACTAACAGTGAGCGTTCCATCGTCGAATCTGCTCGACGACGTGCGAAAAGCATACGCAGAAGATGAATCTTTTCTGCAATTGATGTATTACGAATCTAATCCGTGCAGTCAAGCTTTGAAAAGCTTGTCGTTTCAATACCGCTCTTAAACCGAACAGTATTCTGTTCGTGATGGACTGCTGTAATGTACAGCAGTCAACGGCAACACACCTCGTGTCTTCGTTCCGGGTCATAATGATTTGCGATGGCGCATCATGTATGAGTGTCACGATGCCCCATCAAGTGGGCATCGCGGTAGAGAAAAGACTTACCTCATGGTGAGTCGTGACTTCTACTGGCCCCGCCAGTATGAGTTTGTGCGGAGATACATTCGTGCTTGCGAAGTTTGTCAACGGGTGAAGCCTAGTCCTTCATCCCGCGCACCCTTGCAGCCTCTCCCGATTCTGGCAGATAGTTAACAGTCCGAATCGATGGACCTCGTCTTCAGGTTTCTTAAAGACGCCCACAAGAATACTAATATTCTTGTGTTTGTTGATCGGTTCAGCAATATGGTACATCTTGTTGCTGTACTGGAGTCAATCACAGCCTAGAACTGTGCGCGTGCCTTCATCGATACTATCTTCCGAATTCACGGGTAACCCCGTGAACTCGTGTCTGATAGGGACCCCCGCTTCACAGCGAGGTTCTAGCGATCCGTGTTCCGTTCACTTGGGACACGTTTGACGATGTCAACTTCTGACCATCTGTTTCGGGATGGTCAGACGGAACGCGTCAACCGCGTCCTCGAAGAGATACTTCGAGGGTATGTCCACTCGTTTACGAGCTGGAGTGAGTTCTTGCTGATGGCGGAATTCGCCATCAACAACTCGGTGCACGCGTCGAAACGCATACACCATTCTTCGTGAATGGCCTACGTCATCCACGTTTACCCGCCTTCTTAGAGTGTTACTCTAGTTTATGGGGGGGTGGACTCGCTCGAAGAAAAACCGATCTGGTTCTTGCTCATCACACGTCGACAATGGTGTCGACGTGATGGAGCCGATGTGATCACATCGACATCGGTGATGATGGCGACGACGATGCTGGCATATTCAGCATCGTCAACTACTGCCAAAGTTATGACGATGACGCCTTCACTGGTGAAGAAAACTTTCTTTCAGCAGTGCAAACGAAGCGCACTGCTGTTGACAAGGATAAATCAGCAGAGGAATTTACGCTGACTCGCGAAGTGGTTGTCCGCTTCGTTCAAGACTCTATTGCAGATGCATAAGAGAAACGCAGGCAAACATGGAAGAGCCAATGTTCTTTCATTTGATGAAGGAGACCTAGTTTTACTGTCCACAGTAAACTTACTGAAGCACGCAGTAACAAACGTGGGCAGCAGTAAATTACTGCCCAGGTACATCGGTCCATTTCGTGTGTCACGCCGAATGGGCAACGCATACGCGATTGAACTGCCCCGTAAGATGCGTACGCATCCGACGTTTTACGTCGGTCGTCTCCGCCCGTACTATCAGTACGAGCCCGTTTCGAGATGCGAAGAACACCTCCGCGGTCGAGAGCCGAGACCACCTTCGAGTGGTCCCGTTTCAATGAGCCAGTCTTGTCGACTAGCGAAGCGACCTGCTCGCGCAGTTCAGCGACTTCTCGACGAGCTACAGCCAGCTCATCACAAAGAGAACGAGCCGAACGTTCGTTCTCAAGTTACACGAACGCAAAAGCGGCACGATCGTCCGGACGATCGTGCGTTAGGGAATTTTTTTATCCCTTACAAGATCATCAAGCCCATAACGACGAGTTCGTCCATGAGCCAAGTCATCTTGCAACTGTTCCGCTACACGGTTCAGCTCTTAAACATCAAGTTGATCCGACTCTCAAGCCGGATCAGGTGTTCCCACCGCCACCACATCCTTTGGTGGACTCAAGCGGTGGACTCAAGCGGTGGTCAACGCTTCCTAGTGGAGCGTATTTGAACCACCGCGATGTGAATGGCGTCCGGTGGAGTTGCCTTGTCCGCTGGCGTGGCTATCCACCGGCGTGGGACAGCTGGTAGCCTCGTACCCAGCTGATTGTTGATGTCATTGGTCTCGTCGAGCAGTACGACGAGACCCACCTGCTGCGTTTAAAGAAGGGCCGTCGGAAAACGACGTCCATGAACGCGAGTACAGGAATTGAAAGGTGTCAATCCCTTCGGCCATCTCAGAAGAGATGCGCGCCCTACAGTAGGGATCATTAGGGAGATAGGCCTCCCTAGGGGCACGGTTAGAGTTGTCCAGGCAACCTGGACACGAATCACTACACGAGAGACAGGGTAATCCTACCTCTCTTGAAAGCCGGTGCAACTTGTATCGCGCCCCGACTGGGTTGCGTTTCTGAAACCTGATGCGGGCTGAATCAAGTTTGGCGAGCCAAGCCTCACGGCCAATACACTCGATTTTGTGGATAAGGGCATTCCATCCTTGCACCAAGGCCTTGCCGTCTTGAAAACGGCTACCATTGTACAATCGATGTTTAGAGAACGCATTGGTGAAGAAATCTTCCTCACCATGGATAACCTCCGTGCTGGAATCAGGTGGGCAAATCTTCCTGCAATCGAACAACGAGATTCGATTCCGTTAGGTAGTCGTGCCGGCCAACAGGCCAACTATCTGTATGACGGCATTTACGGAGACTCCACTTAGGGAGCGTGGCGCTGGACATTTCGGTCTCTGGCCTCTTGATTGGTGCCAGCGTGAGCGCTGACACCAGTGACACCTCGATCCCTCGAGTTACTTCGCTCGTGGTGATGTATAGGTGCATCACCACCATCCCCACGCGTCCTATCGATAGACGGACTTGCGCGAGACGAAAATTTATCGGAATAACTACTCGATCCGAAGATCCCGGTCATGCTACTGCCGCGCTGACCAGAGCCAGTCAACCTGGCGTTTGCAGTGTCCACCCCGGCTGACCCGGAGGCGTGAGGTGTCGCCTTCGAGTCCGATACATCATCTGAATATCCAGAATAGATGAGCTCCATCTCAGACTCGTCTTGATTACGACTCGCAGTACTCGCTGCAGGCGCAGCGGATGTACCGGTCGCACGTGGTGATACACCACGTGGAGGATTCACGACAACAGGCGAAGAATCGCCTTCTGCCGAGGTGTGAGAGGCACATTTCTCGGCCGCACCCATGCGTGCAGCCACGCTTCTTGCTGCTGCAGTAGCAGCTCGCGTGGTTTTTGAAACCATGCGTTGTATTGGCAAATGAATGGAAGTTGACCAACAAGTGCTCCCTTACTTAGAGTGATACAACGGTGGTCATCCTGTACCAATCAATTCTAATTCAATCAACAGGTGATAGATGTTTAAGGGGGGGTGATGCAACGGGGTAGCCCGTTACATGAGAATGACACCAAACAGTGTCAATAGGGAGATTGTCTAGCATGACAATATCCTACCAATATTATCCGATTTACATAATTTTGAGGGAATATTATCCCCTTTTAGGATGATATTCATGCGCTGCTCCAAGATTGGTTGATATAAATGATGTCAACCATAGATTGCCACCAATCGCAGCTATACGCGCGCAATGAGTGGTGAGCAGGTTGTCGTCATACGTCGGCGTAGTTTAAGATAGTTAGATAACAATTAAAGTTATATTGGTAGCTTAACTTTATTAGATACAGTTCTCTTTTTTTACTTTACTTGACCGAGTCGTTCAAGTAGATTAGCTTCCTCTGCACGTACTAGTGTACGTGAAGTTTCGCAGCAACCCGAACAAAGGGTGCCCCGTTACATAGGTAGCTAAATCTTGACCTGCTGTACCTCTAAATGTACTTCATAGCTCGCGTACTCACTGCAAACATTTTTTGAAGCGGCCGCTGAACTATACGAGACCTCGGTAGTAGAAACCCGTGAAACGGTTTCCTTTTTACACCTGCAGATATGAACCGCAACCTCTGGAGAGGTGCACAACGATCCAATCAGTCTAGTCGCCCCTGTAAACAATACCGCAAAAGTCGAAAATGCTATTTTGGGACCCAGCTGATTGTGACGTGAAGTTTTGTTGTCACAAATGCGCCTCGGCATGCGTATTCGCACAAGAACCTGTAGCTCAAGTGGTTTGGTGTGGCAGAACCATGCGAGAGGTCACTGGTTCGATATCCAGTGACTGCAACAAAAAGTTAAAACCTTCGGGTACTGGTGTGCCGGGGTTCACCAGCACTGTCCTGCCAGACAGTGACGTCCCCCATCTTAGTAAGTTACGGTGTTTGTTAGAAACACACTATCTGAGTTAGAAACGTACGACGAGACGATTAGTAATGTACGACTAGACGATTACTAACGTAGAGTCAGAAAGAATTCAGTAGGCTTAGAGTAGCAACAGGAGGTTGTGAACTAAGGACCTAAATATATTCACTGTGCATTTTGCAAAACTTCGATCACTTCCTTTAGGTTATGAGCCCAAGCTTCGCAGACTCTGACAAAGACCTCGATCACGCCTTCGCCATGGACTCGTCTCTGTTTACCGCCGCTCGAATCAACAAGTTCACCGGAACAAACTTCCATGTGTGAAAGTTTAAGATGCAAATGGTGCGGGAGGAGCGAGACCTGTGGGACGTCATGAACGGCGAGGTCAAGATCGAGCACTGTACAAGTACTTTGGACCAAGCGACGTTCAAGCCATAGTCACGTAAGGCGCTAGCGATGATCTGTATGCGATGGAGGATTCGTAGTTGCCACTGGTTTGCTCGGCGAAGGACGCGAATATGATGCATGGTCACGTCTAGAAGGTCACCACGTTAAAAAAGTCTTGGCTAATAAGCTTTTCCTTCGTCGCCGTTTCTTCACGACAATGATGGAAGAAGGTGATGAAGTTCTGGGGCACATCAACAGAGTCGAGAATCTGGCGGAGCAACAGGACATAGTCGGTGCTCCGGTCAGCGAGGACGATTTGGTCATCACGCTTCTGGCCAGCCTTAGCGAGTCGGACCAGTTCCTGATAACAGCATTATAGTTGAGAGCCGACTCGCTGTCGTGGGAACTAGTGACATCTCGGCTAATGCATGAGAAATGAAGCGCAACGAGCAATGTGGTGGAATCAAAGGAGCCGCGCACGGGTAAGCTATATATCGTTCATATCAAGAGACAGCAACCGCAAGGCTCGACCGGCTAAGAAGTCCGGTACATGCCATACTAGTGGAAAGCAAGGACATTGGATTGCCGAATGCCCCTCGCGCATCCAGGAAGACGCTGATCGACACAGGTACCAGCGTGCAAACATCGCGCAAGAACCGGAGCTTGGCGATTACATGTTCTCGGTTGGTGGTGGCAAGACCAAGTCGAGTTACATGTGGCTGGTCGATTCAGGGGCGACGCAGCACATGACAAGTTCGAAAGAGTTCATGAGGAACTACAAGGACTTTGGACCTGTAGATGTGCATCTTGCTGATGATGGAGTTGTACAAGCGATTGGAAAGGGTGACATTGTCATGTCAATGATGACTCGTCAGGGCGTCAAGAAGGTTGTGCTCACAAATGTGTGGCATATCCCAAAGTTATCTCGAAACTTATTTTCCGTTGGAAGATTCATCAAGGACGTGGGGCCTGTCACCTTTGAAGTCGATAGTTGCTTCGCGGAAACGAAGGGTTTCAAGTGGAAACTAGGCGCTCTAGAAGGAAAGGGATTGTTCAAGCTTTGTATGACACCGGTGCTTCCTGACGAGGTCAATGTGGCGAGTCCAATAAACTTCAAAGGAGACAACACTTCCTACCTCTGGCACCTTCGACTTGGCCACATTGGTCATGGTGGTCTAGACGCCATCGTCAAGAAAGATTACGGCAGTGGAATCGGCATGAAGTCTGTGCAGAAGTGGGAGTTTTGTAAAGGATGCGCACTTGGCAAACAAACACGTGTGAGCTATATGCCCAAGTCACCCGACCGAGCACGTATGTTGCTGGAGGTCATTCACAGCGATGTGTGTGGCCCCATGAAAACTCCTACCTTCAGTGGAAAACGATACTTCGTGACTTTCATTGACGAATACTCGCACTACTGTGTGGTGTATCTGCTTCAAAACAAGTCTGAAGTAGCGACCAAGTTCGCTCAATTTGTTGCGTTGGCGGAAACCCAAACTGGCAAACGTGTGAAGACTCTTCGAAGCGATAATGGTGGTGAGTACACTTCCAGAACGATGTCCAAGTTCTGTGCGGACCATGGTATCATGCAGAAATTCACGCCGCCTTACACTACTCAATTGAAAGGTGTCGCCGAGCGAATGAATCGGACATTAGTGGAAAGCGCTCGTTGCATGATGGAACATGCTGAGTTATCCAAGTCGTATTGGGGTGAGGCAGTCATGACTGCGAACTTCCTACGTCTTCGCTGTCCAAGTCGTTCAACAAGTCACGACAAGTCACCCTACGAAGTATGGAGTGGTAAGAAACCTATACTTGCAAACCTGAAGGTGTTCGGTTGTCATGCATACGTGCATGTGCCCAAGCCAAAGCGGTCCAAGCTCGATGCAAGATCTATTCAGTGTCGGTTCATTGGATACTCCGACCATGAAAAAGCGTACCGTTTCGAGGAGATCAAGAGTCGTCGTGTACTGGTCAGTCGCGACGCACAGTTCATGGAGAATGTTTTCGACAGTGGGAGACGCGACTATGTGCAAGATGGAGCCGTCGTCGAAGAAGAAGCTTTTATGGAAGATGAGGATGTACCTATGGAGGACTACTCCTCTCATGACACCAGCAACATGAATTTTGAAGAGGCTACAATGGATGGCGTTGATGAACCCGGCGTTAAGAGACACCAACGCACACAGTCGCTCGAGGCCTTGGCCAACGCTCCTGATGCGAAACGTCGAGCTCGATACCTTACCATGGACGAGATGTCTGCGACTGCTGATACCAGTCACTCTGTTGAGACTGCCTACGTCGTGGATTCAGTGGGAGATTTACCAAGGACATTCAAGTCAGCAATGGAATCCAGCGACGCAGTTAAGTGGAAAGAGGCTTGTGACTCCGAAATAAATTCCCTTCGTCAAAATGAGACCTGGAATCTCGTGCCGCTTCCACAGGGACGCAAGGCAATTGGTAATCGATGGGTATTTTGGGTAAAGGAGACCAAGGATGGAAGAATCGAGCGGTTCAAAGCGCGTTTGGTAGCCAAAGGTTTCTTACAGAAACATGGCATTGACTATGACGAGACCTTCGCTCCTGTGGCCAAGTTCACATCCATCCGAGTTTTACTCAGCTTAGCGGCGAAGTACTCGTTCATGATTAACCAGATGGATGTCAAGACAGCATTTCTAAATGGACATCTTGAGGAAGATATTTACATGGCGCAGCCGGATGGATACGTTGATGAAGATCATCCGGACTTTGTTTGCCAGCTAAAGCGCTCTCTATATGGTCTGAAGCAGTCCCCACGGATGTGGAACCAGACCATTGACAAGTTTATGCTGGACTTGGATTTTAAGAAGTGCAAGACCGACCATTGCATTTATTTCAAGCGAGATCAAGAAGACTTGATTTTTGTAGCGCTGTAAGTTGACGATTTGGTCCTCGTAAGCAACAACGCCGAACTGATTAGAGCTACAAAGGATGCGCTAAGTGAGCGGCTTGACATGACGGATCTTGGCGACCTCAAGTACTTCCTAGGAGTGGAAGTTAACCAAGATCGTTCAGCTGGTACGATTTCGATTTGTCAGTCCAAATTTGCAAAGGACATCCTTGAGAAATTTGGCATGGATAACATGTAACGGGGTGAATCGTTACATAACAATTTATAAGAAATTGTTAATAGAATATAACTATAAGAGTTATATTCTCAGAATATTGTCATAAGGACAATATTCTGTAGCACTTCCAAGTAGTTCCTAATTGGTTGATATAGGCCATTATATCAACCAACGAAGACGCGCCACGACAGACGCACGCAATGAGTGGTGAGCAGATAACTGATTTACACATTTGTATTTAGACATAGTTAGATGAAGATAAATAGTGATTTATTGCAGACATTAACTATTATAAATACAGTTCTACTTTTACTCTAACCGAGTACTCGCTTCTTCTTACCGTCTTCCTCTGCACGTACGAGTGTACGTGAAGTTACGAGGCACCGCCTTATTCTGTTATCAGAATAAGTAGCTTGTACTGTCACCAGTACAAGCTTCAGGGTGCCCCGTTACACCTGGTAGCACTTCGTAGTCCGTCCAAGGACCGCGTTCACATCCAACATGAATATGTTGGATGATGAAGATGACCAAAGCTTTCACGCTACGCGTGACGGCTACTCCCATTTGAGCGATGTCGAATGGGATGCGGTTGAACGAATGGGTTCGACCATGGGCATCCATGCTGTTAGCGTCATGCTAGAGGCTCTCAATAGAGATGCCCAACATGCTACTATCGCCAAGTTCATTCAAAATGAACTTGACGCAGAACGCGAGAAAGTAGCCTTGCTTCACCAACAAGGTTCTCAACAAGCAGAGTTGTTGAGAGAACAAGGTGCTCAACAGTTTGAACTGTTGAGACAGCAGCAGGCTGCTGCTGGCGGGTCGATACACTCGCGTCGGCCCGAGACTTTGAAGATTGACACCTCAAAGTATAGGGGGGTCGAAGAAGACTCCCTCTTGAGATGGTTCGTCGAATTGGATGACGCCATAAGGGCGCGTCGCGTCGACGACGGGGATATGCAAGTTGCATTTGCCCAGTCAAATCTGGCAGGACGTGCCAAGACTTGGGCACTGGGGCTCAAGCTGCACGACCCATACGCGTTTGGGTCGTTGGAAGTCTTCAAGTCGCGGCTCAGACAAACGTTTGAACCGCCTAGAGCTGAGTTCAGAGCTCGAACCGAACTCTTGAAGCTCAAGCAGGGTAAGCGTGATGTGCACGCTTACGCTCAACATATACGACATCTCACGAGTTGTATAAGTTCCAATCCGGTGGATGAACACACGTTGGTTTCGGTGTTCATGCAGGGTCTTGCGGATGGTCCCGTCAAGACTCACCTGTTCCGGCTTGAACTAGATTCACTAGAACAAGCCATTTCAATTGCGGAGCAGGAAGACTTCAGTCTGAGACAGGCTCGCGCCAGCTCGACATCATATCGTCAACCGAGACGATATGACAACGGAGGTCCAGAGCCGATGGAACTCTGTTATGTAGAGAGCGAGAAGGCTCGCTCTACAGGCTACAAGAAGTTGCAGAGATGCAACAGATGTCAAAAGACAGGACACTACGCTTACGAGTGTAGTGCCCCTCGTCCAGTGTCTCGCGACACTGGGCGTAGTGACCGTCCACCCATGAGAAAGGGGCAGGGACGAGGGTCCGCAGTTGGTGCAAAGACGCAACAACGGGATGGACCGTCAAAAAACGGACAGGATCAGTAGGTGCGGAGCACCCTACTGATCCAGCAACGTCAAGAGAATTTGTAGGCCTCTTGATGAAGGTTGCTCCCAACACACAGACATTGTGCGTTGCTGCTCTAGGTAATGAGATCTCACTCATTACCTTGAAACTCGAAGTGACGAATAAGTTGTCCCTTCGAGCTCTAGTCGATTGTGGGGCGTCCAACAATTTTGTGCGACGCCAATCGCTAGAAGATGGTCACTTTAAATTCAGTGAATGTGACACACCTCCTACGAGGATGACGGTACGTCTTGCGACAGGCGCATCCG